TACTTGTATGAAAGGATAATATAATATTTTAAACTAGCTTAAAAACTCAAGAGAAACCAAATGTGGAAGAATTGATTTCATTGTATATTCACAGAACAAGAGTTATAGCTTTATACTAGAATTGTACAAGACATTCCTATTCTATTGCCTACAATTACGACTAACCAAATATAGAAATAGGTAAGTAAATAACTAAGAATCAATTTACAATATTGACTGCTTATTTTGTGCGATCTTCTTTAACACTCCCCCTCAAGTTGGAGTGTATGTTTATGACACCCAACTTGCTGAGCAATACTTCAAAGTGTGTCGAACTCAATGGCTTAGTGAACAAATCAGCTGGTTGATTCATGGTTCGTATGTAAGCTGTTCGTACCATCCCTTCTTGAATCTTTTCGCGCACTAGGTGACAATCTATCTCTATATGCTTCGTTCGTTCATGGAATACCGGATTGGAAGCAATATGCATAGCAGCTTGATTGTCGCAGAAGAGTATAACTGGTTGTGTGTGGTTTACTCTCAAATCCTTTAAGATGTTCTTCAGCCATGTAATCTCACAACAAGTAGTGGCCATAGAACGGTACTCCGCCTTTGCACTTGATCGAGATACCGTGCTTTGCTTCTTTGTTTTCCAAGAAATGGGTGCTTGGCCAAGTAGAATGCAATAACCAGTCATCGACCTTCTTGTATCGGCACATCGAGCCCAATCAGCATCACAAAATGCCCGTAATTGTAATGAACCTGTGGAGGGTAAGAGAATTCCTTGCCCAGGCGTTTGCTTGATGTATCTAAGAACCTTATGCGCTGCTTCAAGGTGTGGCTGCCGGGATTTATCCATGAATTGACTCAATACATGAACTGCATAAACTAGATCAGGTCTTGTGATGGTCAAATAAATTAACCTACCTACAAGCCTTCTGTATGAAGATGGATCATTCAGTAGCCTTCCATTTGTCTGTGTGAGTGACAAATTTTGTTCCATAGGAAACCGTGAAGGTTTAGCACCTAGGAACCCGACATCATCCAATATTTCCAACGCATATTTTCGTTGACACAAAGTAATACCATGTTTTGACCTTGCAACCTCTATCCCCAAGAAATATTTAAGCTTACCCAAGTTTTTGAGCTTAAATCTCTTGGAAAGAAATTGCTTAGTGTCCTCAATGTCCTGTAAGTTGTTGCCTGCCAATATCACATCATCAACATAGACAAGTAATGCTATGAAGCTACCTTGACGATTTCGGACGAACAATGAGTAGTCTGACAATGACTGATGAAATCCAGCAGCTTTGAGAGCGGTTGACAGTTTGAGAAACCATTGTCTCGAGGCTTGCTTTAGGCCATACAAGGATTTGTTTAACTTGCACACACGAGTCTCCCCCTTTCATCCGAAACCAGGAGGCAAGGTCATGTATACATCCTCATCAAGGTCACCGTGCAAGAACGCATTGTTCACGTCGAGCTGGTGCAAGTGCCATCCTTGTAAGGCTGCAATGCTAAGAAGAACACGAACAGTCACCAATTTTGCCATAGGGGCAAATGTTTCCTTGTAATCAACACCCTCTATTTGACTGTATCCTTTCGCAACTAACCGAGCTTTGTACCGCTCGACGGTCCCGTCTGGTTTTAACTTGATTTTGTAAACCCACTTGCATCCAACGGGACGTTTATGAGAGGGCAAGGGCATGAGAGTCCACGTGTTGTTTGCTTGGAGAGCTGCAATTTCATGTTGCATGGCATCTCACCACTTTGGATCTGTAATTGCCTGTGAAAAACTGGTGGGTTCTTTGAGAAGAGTGAGGTGAGTAGTGAAGGCTTTATGAGCAGAAGAAAGTCGATCATAAGACAAAAATTGTGAAAGAGAATGAGCAGTACCTGAAGACTTGACCACGTTCGTAGAAGATGAAGGTGCGGGTCTGGATGGGAGGGCTGCCTCGACATGAAAGTCCTGCAAAAATGGTGGAGGCTTGGTTTGACGTGCACCACGTCGTAAAGGTGGTTGTATTGAAGAAGAAGAATATGTGGGTGACGGTGAAGATGGGGTGATCACACTGTTTGTAGTATCAGATGATGGGGTTGCGGAAGGTGAGGTGGTGATCATGTTTTCTGGTGGTGTTGGGCAAGAAGAAGTCTCTTCTGATATGTGGGTTGAAGATATTGGCTCTAGGAAAGAGTCAACATCAAATGTCAAAAGGGGGGGCATGAGGTTGTGAAAAGAGAGGTGGTGCAGCGGAATGAGCATGATTTTGAAAAGGGAATTTTTCTTCAAAGAAAGTAACATCCCGTGAGACAAAAACCTTTTTGAGGATTGGATCAAATACACGATACCCTTTCTGACCATAAGGGTATCCAAGAAAAATACGAGTAGCACGAGGGTCAAATTTTGAAGGTTTTTGTGCATGGGTGGAGACAAAACATAAACAACCAAATACCCTTAAGTGAGAATAAGTTGGAGCTTGATGAAACAATTTCTCATATGGCGTTTTACCATGGAGAAGAGGGGTTGGTGTTCTATTTATGAGATATGCTGAAGCAAGAATTGCATTTCCCCAAAACTGTCTAGGTAGCCCGGCTTGAATAAGCAAGGCTCGTGCCACATTGAGCAAATGCCTATGTTTGCGCTCAGCAACACCATTTTGTTGTGGTGTGTTGACACAACTAGATTGATGAACAATGCCTTTGAGGGCGTAAAAATTTTCAAGTTTGAACTCGGGACCATTGTCACTACGCACTATTTTGACCTTAGAATTGAATTGAGTCTCAACCATGTGAATGAATTGAACTAGAAGATCCCTTGTATCAGATTTATGTTTCATCAAATAAACCCATGTACTGCGAGTAAAATCATCTACAATAGTGAGAAAATATTTTGCACCAACAAGAGAAGCAATTTTATAACCACCCCAAATGTCAACATGTATCAAATCAAAACATACTTTACTGGAAATGGAACTCAACGGAAATGGTGACCTTGTTTGTTTGGCCAATGGGCAAATTAGGCACTTGTCTGTATCACAAGATTTATTTTTGGAAAAGGGAAATAACTGAAAAACTTTCTTTGATGGATGTCCAAGGCGTTGATGCCAAAGACCAGAGGCTAGAGTTTGAACGGAGTTGCATGTTCCTTTCTTTGCTTGATCGAGATAATAGAGTCCCTCCCGCTCAAATCCCGTCCCAATCATCTTCCCCGAGCATAGGTCCTGTATGACACAAAATTGGCTTAGAAACACCGTGATACAAGAGGAATCTGAAGCTAACTTGCTAATGGAAATTAGATTGAGTCGAAAAAGTGGTACGCATAAGACGTTATTGAGAATGAAATTGGGAGAGAAAACAATATGTCCAATATGGGTGACTTGAGCAAATGAACCATTTGGTAATTCAACAGTATGATTTTCAACTGTCTTTGAATGTGTAAGCAAATCAGGGCTACAAACCATATGATCTGTAGCACCACTATCCAAAATCCAAGTGTTCTTCTTGCCATTATAAGTAAGGGAAAAAGCTTTACCTGATAGTTCTTCATGATTTGAAGAATTACCAACTTGATTGGCCATAGAGGATTTTTTCTTGCTCAACATGTGGAGAATCTGTTTACATTCCTCCTGTGAAAAAAGGGAAATTGGACACCGTCCCCTTCGCGTCAGATGCATATGATGCAACCTGGTTGCCCTTTGAGAGACTACCTTGTTCAGCTTCTAATGCCGCCGCTCTCTTGCGACAGTAATCAAATGAGTGACCTTTCCAGCCACAAAAGGTGCATTTAAGGTGAACACGGCAATTCTTGGTGCTATGATTCGTCTTGTTGCACTTTGCACATCGAAGGCCCTTCTCTTCTGATTCGGATTCACGACTCGAGTTCTTTACTGCAAAAACAGCTGCTTCTGGTTGGGTAGAAGTTTTCCCATTAGAAATCTCCGCTTGCCTTTCATGTCGAAGGACAAGCGAATATGCCTTGTTTACTGTGGGCAACGGTTCCAATAAGAGCGTGTTACTACGAACAGTGGCATATGAGTCGTTTAGACCCATGAGAAATTTCATTGTTTTCTGAGTCTCTATGTATGAAGCAATCTCCTTGGTTGTTCCACAGCTACACGCAGGAATTGAGCACAACGCATCCCTTTCATCCCAAAGGCTCTTAAGTTTAGTAAAATAGGAACTCACAGTCATGCTGCCTTGTACGCAATCATGGATTTCATTCTTGATATGGAAAAGCTGAACAGTATTCACATGAGAAAATCACTCTTGGAGATCAAGCCACATCTGGCTCGCGTCTTTGCAGTGAATGACGCTGCCAGCAATTTCCTTCGACATCGACCCCAATAGCCATGTCTTGACTAAATTGTTGCAACGCTTCCATTGCTGCAATTCATCAGGTTTATCCCCACTTGGTTGTTTGATTGACCCATCAACGAAGTCAATCTTGTTTTTGACCGTTAAGGCCATGCTCATGGACTGAACCCATGTGCTGTAGTTATCTTCTACCAAAGGCTGCGGGACAAGGATTACGCCGGGTTGGTCCGCATGATGAAGGTAGAGCGGGTGGTTGGGGTTTTCCCATTTTGGCTTTGAAGGCATGCCTGTGTCGGTTGACTTCTTTTCGATGTTGTCACCCATGGCTGTGCTGCTAGGGTGATGTTTGTATTTGGTTAGGTTTATTCAGATCGTCGCTCTGATACCATCAAGAGAAACCAAATGTGGAAGAATTGATTTCATTGTATATTCACAGAACAAGAGTTACAGCTTTATACTAGAATTGTACAAGACATTCCTATTCTATTGCCTACAATTACGACTAACCAAATACAGAAATAGGTAAGTAAATAACTAAGAATCAATTTACAATATTGACTGCTTATTTTGTGCGATCTTCTTTAACAAAAACAATATACATGCTAATTAAACTTTATATATATGAAAGAAAATACTCAAATAAGTCTAACTACAATATGTTCAAACCAGAGGATCTTATATTTGTTCAAAACTAGGTCACATGCAATTCAGATCGTAATGAGTTGTTCAAGTGTAATATCGTCTAGTACTCCATAGGAAGAAGCAGTTTGGAACGATAACATCTGAGAAACCATGAGCATTGTTGGCCTCGATTGTGGATGGGAATGTCTGCATGCAACTGATAGCCTTGCAATGGTTATGAGTTCATCTTGAAGTTGAGGTGTAGGAGGAGGAAGGCGTTGGTCCAACGCATCCATGAGCAATATGTTTGCATAGGTGGTGGATGGAAACGAAAATGAGGAGACGAAATCGCCTAGCTTCTTTCCCATAATCACTTCCAGTGCCAGCACTCCAAAGCTATAAACATCACATTTCTCAGTTACCTTCATTGTGTAAGCCAACTCTGCATACAAATTCAGGAAGACCAAACCATCAATATAGATATATCTAGGCTTGATATTAACTAAATTTAGAAAGAACAAAAGTTCTATATTTAGGTATTTTACCTGGTGCTACATATCCATATGTGCCAGCATGAGCAGTCCAATTCGACGAGTCTGGATTCAAAAGCTTAGCAGTTCCAAAGTCCGAAACACAAGGCTCGTAGTCATAATGCACCAAAATGTTGCTGCTTGTTATGTCTCGGTGCACAATAGGTGGTGAGCAATCATGATGCATATAACACAAGGCATGAGCTACACCCTTTACAATTCTCACCCTTGTACTCCAGTCCAACTGTTAGAATTTAGGAGGTGAAGGAGTTTAGGACAATAGACAATAGTTGAAACAAAGTAATTTTATTATATTTGGAGGAGAATAGTACATAGGTGAGTGTAGGCTAATTGGCCTCCTTAGCATATTGGCTTATTGGCCACCACATTTGATTTAGAATAGTTTGGGCTATTTGGCCCTTGGTGAGCTTATTGGCTCCACAACATAGTTTAATTTGGGTAGCTCTTGGCTTCCTAATGGTTTGGGAGTTAAATTGTTACACTCCCACATAGATTGAGAGTTGATTGGTTCACTCCACCTTTCATTGTAGGTTGCATGCCTATTTATAGATGATTGTTTGCCGACTTAGCCTTGGTCCACCGACTTGGGCACTTTCTCCCAACCACATGTTTGTAGTCATGCTCTAGAGATTTCTTCCACCGCCATACTTTAGCCATTCACTTGTCACTTTTTCTAAAATATTCTACCATATACATTTTGCTTTGCCGCCTCTTTACTTTTCTAGTACTTTGTAGAACAAATGAGCATTAGTTTTTCAACACCAACTTTTTAGCTTCATAATCCTTGCTCAAGACTGCAGCCAAGCTACTTTTTTCCAGATACTCATAGACCAAAAATGAGTGATGGGCAGTAGAACAAAAACCAAAAGAAATGTTCTAGTACTTTTCCATATTTGAAATTACCAACAAATTTGGTGAATGATTCAATTCATCATTTGAAGTCTTTGAAGCTTAAGATTGCTAGTTTATGAATTCTAATTGGTAGAGCAGAACATATTCAAATCCATAAATTGCATCATTATATGGACTGCGTTAGCCGTCAGAAAAATTAAATTCAGCACAAGGTTTAGTCCTAGAAATTAAAATGTGATGTGAATTTTCTACAAAAGGTGGTGATAAATAGGATATAATCTGGTCAAACCAGTTTACTCTGATACAAAACAGAACAATACACATGCTAAAGTTGATATGAAAAGAAATACTCAAATGACTAAATTATATATGTCACACGCAATTCAGATTGTAATGAGTTGTTCAAGGGTAATATCATCTGATCCTCTATCGGAAGAAGCAGTTTGGAACGATAACTCCTGAGAAACCATGTGCATTGTTGGCCTCGATTTTGGATGGGAATGTCTGCATGCAATTGATAGCCTTGCAATGGTTATGAGTTCATCTTGAAGTTGAGGTGTAGGAGGGGGAAGGCGTTGGTCCAACACATCCTTGAGCAATATGTTTGCATAGGTGGTGGATGGAAACGAAAAGGAGGAGACGACATTGCCTAGTTGCTTTCCCATAATCACTTCCAGTGCCAGCACTCCAAAGCTATAAACATCACATTTTTCTGTTACCTTCATTGTATAAGCCAGCTCTGCGTGCAAATTAAGGAAGAGCAAACCATTAATATAGATCTATCCAGAATTAATTTTTTAAAGAAAAAACTTCTATCTTTTAGTAATTTACCTGGTGCTACATATCCATATGTGCCTGCAAGAGCAGTCCAATTCGACGAGTCTGGATTCAAAAGCTTAGCAGTGCCAAAGTCCGAAACACAAGGCTCAAAGTCACAATACAGCAAAATGTTGCTGCTTGTTATGTCTCGATGCACGATAGGTGGGGCGCAATCATGATGCATATAACACAAAGCATGAGCTACACCCTTTACGATTCTCACCCTTGTACTCCAGTCCAACTGTTTAGCTTCATGCTCGTTGCTCAAGATTGCAGCCAAGTGACCTTTTTCCAGATACTCATAGACCAAAAACGAGTGATGGGAACTTGAACAAAAGCCAAGAAACTTTACAATGTTTCGGTGTCGTATCTGAGTTAAGGCCCTTATTTCATTAAAGAACTCCTTCCGAGATGCCTCCTCACCATCAAGTGTTTGATGGAATTTCTTCACTGCAACAATGATGCCTGATGGGAACTTTGCCTTGTAGACACTGCCCTGTCCTCCCTTCCCGATGCAATGGACGACATCAAAACCATTGGTTGCTTCCATGATTTCTCCATACATTTTTCTTCCGTCAAAATTAGATATTGAGAAAAAGCCTTTGTGCATATTGCTCTGTTCGATTTCCTGTTCTTGCTTTCTTCTACTTCTTCTTCCAATCAAAACAAATGCCAGGAAAGCAAGTAAAAGTGTTCCCAAGATAGGGAAAATGATTAAGAACGCCTTCCTTGAGGTATGCTTATGCTCCACATAATGATTGCAGGGTTTTAGTCCTCCAACGTTGCCACACAATCCGTTATTCCCTTCCATTCGAGCATTTTTAAATGCTTTGTTGTTGGGGATTGGACCCTGCAGTTGATTGTAGGATATGTCAATGTCATTCAAGCCATGCATTTCATCAAAACTTGTTGGAATGAGACCGGTAAGATTATTGTAGGAAAGATTCAACGTCTCCAAGCTTTTCATACTGCTCATTGCTGATGGTATCTTACCCTCAAGTGAGTTGTGACTTAGATCAAGTTGGGACGTATGAACTAACTTCCCCAACTGAAATGGAATTTCTTGACTGAACTTGTTATTGCTCAAATTCAAATAGTGTAATTTGAGCAAGTAACCAAAAATGCCTGGAATATCAGTCAATGATCCAAATTCTGAGGGTATAGGACCCCAAAGTTGATTTCCATTCAACCTCAAATTCACCAAAGAAGTCAATCTCCCAAAGTTCTTTGGGATCACCCCTACTAAACTATTGGAAGAAAGATCGAGTACATGAATTTGGGTTGCATGGCTGATCTCAAGTGGTATGATACCAGTAAGATTGTTCCCCGCAGCACGAAGGGCTGCTAACTGCGGACACTGTCCCCAGAGGAGTGAGATTTCTCCGTGCAAGTTATTGTGGCTTAGGTCAATAAATTGAAGGTTTGGATAAGCACCAAAGTCTTCAGATATATTGCCTGTCAGTTGGTTCCCTTCAAGACGAACTCTCACTAAACTCTTGCAAGTTTTCAAGCTTTTGGGGATTGGACCTATGAAATGGTTGTTATATGCCGTAAAGGTTTGTAGTGATCCACGTCGGCAAATATTTTGGGGCAAATAACCAGAAAAATTGTTATTGTCGAGTACCAGAACAATCAACTTCATGAGATTCTCCATCTCTTGGGGGATGGAGCCAGAAAGTTGGTTATCACGGAGGTGTAAATATTCTAGGTTGCTCAAGTCACCAAGTGAAGTGGGGATGGAACCATTGAGTTGATTCTGGCTCAACGCTAGATCCACAATAGATTTCAAGTTCCCCATCTCTTTTGGAATTGTGCCAGAAAGATTATTATTAAAGAGATAGAGAAGGGTAAGGTTTGTTAGATCACCTAATGATGACGGGATTGGACCGGATAGATTGTTTATTCCCAGAGAAAGCTTATTAAGAAACTTAAGCTGACCGATTTCTCGAGGGATTGAGCCATTTAATTGATTCTCATTTAGGCGCAGGAGTTGAAGATTATTGAGAAGACCAATTTCTGGTGGGATTTTCCCAGACAACTGATTATAAGAAAGGTCAAGATAGACGAGTTTGGAGAGGGAACTGATCTGAGATGGGATGGCACCAAAGAGTTGGTTCGAGCAGAGCTCAACATATTCGAGATTAGGGAGGGACAGGAATGGAAATTCATATAGCGTACCTTGTATCCCAGAATTGGTGAGGTTGATCCTGTTGACACTTGCAGCAGTGTTGCATGAAATACCAGTCCAAACGTTGCATGGGATTGTATTTCCTTTTGAATTGTAAACCCATGAGGTCAGATTATTCTTGGTTAGATTTTGAAAGCTAGCTTTCCATTTGAGAAGAGCCTCTGCTTCAAGAGAAGAAGCAAAAGCAATGTTTGGTGATGAGAACAGCTGGACATACGAGATAAGGCAAGCTAGACAGCATAATAAATATGTCATTGTATTTTTGTTTCTGTATACTTATACAATCGTGTATTTGATGGCTTTATTTATAGCTATTATATACATGCACTGATTCCGTTTTCCAAAAAATATCTAGCGATCGACAAGTTTTTGTGGTTGAGATGGCTTGAGACCTCTCTTTCACTTTTCTTTCTGAGAGAAAAGTTAATTAGTCAATGCAATGTTTGAATTTTGTGGTTGAATTTAGAGTTAGCAATAACTTGAGACCTCCTTTTCACTACTTTTCTTCCGTTAAAGTCACCTCCGTTAAAGTCACCAAGTAAGGTGCTTTGGAATATGGGAGAAGACTTTGAAGTCGCCTCCGTTAAAGTCAGTCTTATAAATGCAATGTTTGAATTTCGTGGACACAAGGTTGACCTCACCTACTCTTAAGCAAATTTCACCAATTAAGATCATTCACAATCATGCTCCATATTTCTTAGCTAAAATTTAGCTAAAACCACAAAAAAAAAAACTATTTTATGAGCTGTCTAAAAAAATTCAACTCCAACCACACTCCCTAATTTGGAGAGTCATAAATGCTTTACTTCTAGTTGTTATAAATGCAATACTTATTTTTTAATTTAATTACTGATTTTAAAATAAGATTTTCATATTCAAAGCAGGAATATTGCCAAATAATTGTAAGTTTAATTGTTATTCAATTTTGATATTCTATAGTTTTCTGCTGTGAAAGAATTGGCTGTCAAAACAAGATATCATATGAAATGAATTATATATAAATAAAAAAGTGTTTGTGTTTTGCAAAATACCTGCAGGGAAAAGAATTTGTTTTAAAAGGTGTTGGTGCGTTGCAAAATATATATAGCGAAAATAAATTTTTAAAAATTCAAAATTTAAAATAAATAAATAAAAGTGATCGTGCTCTGCAAAACACCTATAGCGAAAAGAATTGGAAAAAAAACATGTTTGTGTTTTCCAACAATATAATGCAGAAACAAATGATAAAATTAAAGACATCATTAAATAAATGCTTAAAATAATAATATAATAAAATAGCATTTAATTATAGGGAGTCACTAGGAGTC